TTTTTATCCCGTCGGTAATGAAATTGCTTTGAGCAATGAGAAACATATTGCATAAATACGCTTCCACTTTTATGGGGACGTATGTAATGTGGTTGTCATCCTTTTTTATTTACCTTGGGCTACAATACCCTCAGTGGGGGAGCCAAAGAGGGGCATAGGGGTCGGGGGCCACCCCCCCCCCCCCCACCCTTCGCAGCACCTCAGATATCCCCCCCCCCGCTCCCCGCCCCCCGCCCCTCGGACGTAAACCTGGCTCCGCCACTGAATACCCTTTAATTAGCATGTGAACGCAATAGAGTATACAGTTTTGATCCGTTTTTGATGAAACATATTATGCACGCTATGATAATGTATGATAATGCTGTGATCTCGAAGATTTTTTTCGGTTTTGGTATAAATGTAAGATGGATGTGCTTATGTTCATTGCGACACGAACCTGTAAGATTCCAACTTTTTTTTTCGATAAATAATTTGCGAGTTTTTAACCATGTAGCAAATGATAATAACACAACAGTTTTGTAGTCACTATCATTATCAGTAATAGCATCGATATTCAAGATCAACAGTAACAGTAAATGATGTTTACACCTATGTATTAGATACTTACCTTTTGAATTAGATTGCATGAATTTTTCTGATGTGTGGGCATTTATCCATTTGGCGACCGCTGGTTGAATTTTAGAAATATAGATAATTAAGTAGACTAATGGTATAAACGATCCGAATATTAAGTGAGTAAGTATTTCATAATAAAAAATGCTATCAGGTCTTTAGAATAGTAAGTATACCCTGATTGGCGCCACCTTAAGCTTAACTTAAAGTTGAAGGTGTTATTTTCTACTTTGGAAAAGTGAAGGTTAAACCAGGGAATATTACGAAACGAATGTAGACAGTTTTCCTTTAAGATAAAGAGACAACAAAAACTAATCTCAATCATGATTGGATTTCAATATTATGTACATATTTAAACGCTTGGATTTAATCGCTTTCAACAGACGCGCCATTTGATATGTAAAGCGTATATAAATTAAGTGTGTTTCTAGGTTTACCACCGATTACACATGCATACATAATAATATTATAACATACGTATTTTCTTACGAAAGCTATATTGAGGTCTATACTGGGGAATTTTCCCCAACTTCGACAATTGTCGAACGTAGTAACCATTAATAGACACCATATATAAAGTAGTAACGTTTCTTTCACGCACTTATTACGTGTTAGTGGCACATATTCATACTGAACATAATATGGGTCACAGTTCGTTATCCTAGGTTCAGCTGATTACTATCAATGATACCTGGCTATATATTATGTTACTTCTACCTCAAATTGATTCTTAATACTGCTGTCTAAAGTGCGTTGTGGATATATATTAAGGTAGGTTGATTCTTATCACACATTTCTTTATGCTACATATCAACCTTGATAGTAAAGCTATGATAATGAAAGCCAATTTGAGAAATAACAGTCCCTTCATTTGAAGTTATAATATGAAAATATTTGACGTAGTAATATTTATTATGAAAAGGAAAAAGGTGTTTATAGTTTATACTGAAATTTCTTTACTGAACAGATATATTTGACTAATCGTGCATGGTGATTTTAAGTGTGCGCCGTGACCAACATTAATTAATTGTTGCAAAGACATGCATGTTTTTTTAACAAAAAAAGAAAATCCTACCATTAATTGTGAGATCGCCAAAATTATCTAAAATGTTAGCGTTAATCTTTCACAATCGTTAATTTTTGTTTTGTTTTTTTTTTCGGTTGGTGTTGGGAAAACTAAATAAACGACAAGTTGTAAAGAAATATATGTCTCCTACTTATTCTTGAGGTTTAGGTGCGAATAGACGATGTCCGGTGCGGTGCACAATGCAAGAGAATAGATACAGTAGAAAATAGTAGAAGCGAGTCGTGTCCGCATCGTGTCCTGACCCGTAAGTCGTGTGTTCACTTGTTCCGCACCGGACATCGACTATTCGCGGCTTTAAACTAAAACTATCGAGTCTGATAAGGCCCAAAACCCAAACTAGTTAAAACTGCTCAGTTAACAAATAGTTCTGTTTCTTTTTTAACCATTTTAAAGCAAATTCAGGTTGATCAAATAGATACCATTTTATAGAAATAATTTTACCTATAACTTGCAACGGTTTTGCATACTACCCCTCTAAAATCTTTTTCACATTGTAGTAGTTTTCAACCCAAGAGTGTGTAATTCTGCACTTTTTTTGTAACCTAGCCTGTTCTTTTCAGTAAAACTATAATCTCCATCATGGAAATGAAATAGATTCGACGAAACTTGGTGTGAGTGTTTGTAACCATAGGGACCGGTATCATACTGTTTTTAAAAAAAATTAAAAAAAAAAGAATTGGTCCCGCTTTGTTATAACAAGAGAAAGGGGCGCAATAAATACTACGTGAAAACACTTTGCATTTGTACAATAAAAGGTTGAAAAGGTTCATTTGTTACTATTCTTTAAATAAAATGCAACATTTACAACTATCATTTTTACAGTCTAAAACGAATCCTTTTAGTCTATTTTACCAGCCACTTTGGGGAATTAATTTGAGTCTTGTAAAAAGTCTTCTAACTAGTAATATTCGAAAATCGCACAATTCCTTCAAAAATATTTCAGACTAGGAATTTAACTCAATATTTCTATAAATATCTTTTCTATATATCTATATCTATATATTCTGGACACACATGGATTTGAAGGCTCAATTTCGACGGTGAGCCGTGAACACTATTACTGATTGGCGAAGCTAAAGACAATTCCCGCTTCTGAGACTAAAGTGTGATTGGTGAAAATGAATGGCGCGCACCCGTCCCTTAAAGTTTTCCACCGAAATATTCACAAACTGTGCATTCAACCGAGTTTATTGCACGTCCCGAGTGAATAATCGCACCAATCTTGCCTCATCAAAACAATCATTATTATATGCCCACAATAAAATGTGGTTGTATATTGCCATCGCCCCTGTCCGTCGGTCCGTCAACTTTTGTTGTGGGCACAATAGACACTACGGTTTTCATCTGATTTTGATAAAACTTGAATTGATTAGATCTCAGTCAAATTTGAATTCGACGATTTTTCGATGAGTGGTTTTTGAGTTATTGCACTTGATTTAGTAAGTTTGCGTTAAAATGTATTTGTAGGCATAATAGAAACTACAATTTTCAATGGATTTTGATGAAACTTGGTATGAGCATTAAAATTTATAACATCTCGTTCAAGTTCGAATTTGGCAATTTTTGGACAGGCTGATTTTGAGTTATTACCCCATTTAGTAAAATCGCGTCAAAATTTGTTTGTTGGTACAATAGAAGCTACAGTTTTCAACCAATGAAGCTGTTGTGTGGTCGTATGTTTACCTTGTCTGGCAAGCTATCTTCTACGTCTTGTATGCACAAACCTAATAAGTTTTGATTTCAATCACTGTTCTGGCGAATTTAATCATGTATCGTTATCTAACAAGAACACAGCCATTTTGTTGAAAAATAGTCCACAGAGCAGCGTTTATGAAAGACTCAATTTGATTGCTCAATAATGATTTTTAAAATATGTTTATTTTCCAGCGACTATTATTGGCCCATTACATTAAGTCTTTCAGAAACGCTTTTCTGCTGACTATTATTCCATGGACGACTTAACCGACGAGCTAGTATAGGCTGAGAGGATTCGTTTTCGACTGAAAAAATATTAAAATGGCCGTGGAAAATCGTGAATGTTGTATTTTATTTACATTTATAGTATAATTTGTTTTCATGTAGTAAAATTGGTTGTTTACATTTTTTTCTCGTTATCCGTTGCTTCCCTTTCTCTTCTTATTACATATGAGTGTAAAAAAGTGTGATACCAATCCCTGTTTGTAGTCACCCAAGGATGAAACCTATTGAAAATCGAAAAATATTTAGTATGAGTTCCTAAAAAACACTTTCATTTTTTAGCTGGTAAACACTCAAGAAGGCACAATTCTTGACATATTTAGGCGAAATTTGGTGTGAGTGTTTGTAATCACCCAAGGATGAACCCTTTTGAAAATCGAAAAAAATTAAGTATGAGTTATTGCCCTTGCTCTTGAAAACGCGATAAATTTTTTGCTAGTAGACACTAAAAGGCTCGATTTTTGCCGGATTTCGACAAAACTTTTTAAAATTGTTCAGTATTACCCCAAAAAGTTCAAAAGAAGTGTATTTCATACTGGTGATTGTTACAGCCAAATATTTTTTATTCAAAACCAAAGTTGCCAATGCCCTTGACACTAAATATTTCAATATTGACATATGAATGCGACAGGAAAGGTTAGATAAGATTGTATGATTATGTAAATGTATATAATGTATCTAAATAGAAAATTTATACTCCACATCCCATTCGATCTGTCCATCCCGATTTCCTTGGGAATGTGAAAGAGGCTACAGTTTTGGTGCGATTTTGATGAACCCTAGTATATGTAGCATGGACGACTACAATATTCGCTTTTTCCGATGAACCGGTTTTGTGACAAAGTCGTCAGCATTGTCTTGAGATCATATTTTTGATCCGATGTTGATGAGACAGGGTATAATATACTGATTTCATCTTTTATTTTTCGATAAAAGATTTATGAGTCAATGTTCATGTAACAAATTTGATTTGATTGTAATAGACTACCGTACCATATTGTTCTTTAAGCTGCCATTTGATATGGCCTTCTTGGCGACCGCTCATTGCTACAATATGAACTTAACAAGGCCAATTACAAATTAACACAAACACAATTATATGGATAACAATTACTTTAATAAATAACTTGCGACGTTAAGATTGTTAAGAAATTTTTTGTGGTTTATAACTGCCAAGATATTTGTTGCTCGGGGAGCATATAGATTATATGGTAACCACCCGTTTCACAAATGAAACATCCTCTGTGGAGATCGATTATACTAATTTTTTGATCATTTTTCTAGATACAAAAAATATGCTTGCTGGAGTCATCTAAATTCAACGATGACAATTTCAAAATGTTTTCCCGAGAAGAAGAATAAGTTGAATGAAAACGAAAATAAAACTTTTACACGAGATGGAGGATGGGGTTGGATAGTTTGTTTTGCTGCTTTCATGATAAATTTTATCGCCGATGGCACGATGTTTTCATTTGGAATTATCTTTATTGAACTTCTGGATTATTTCAAAGATTCAAAATTCAAGACATCCATAGTGGGTTCTTCTCAGCTTGGATTAAGTATGATGATGGGTATGTATGATTCTATTTATGATATGATAATAATAGCATTTTATAAGTGCTACAGCTGAGTGTTTAATTTGATTATTTTTCCGAAAAGGGGAAAAAGCGACAAAGATTTAGCTGCATTACCTTGTTCTGTCTTTGAGTTACCCATTTAATAGTACATTTTTGTTGTTGATTTAGTTCATGAAATTATCTGCAATATACTCATAATTACCACGCTTAGGGTCAAAAATGTGGCGTCTTTCTATACACGGTAATAAGCGGGAAAGGTCCATTTTATTGTATTCAGAAGAATGAATTCATGCAACCACATATATTTGTAATACGCGCAAAAATAAAATATTTTGAATGTGTTAAACAGGTCCAGTTGTCAGCGTCTTGCTGAAACATTTTACATGCAGACAAGTTACAATCACTGGTGGGTTTATAGCTGCTATATCACTTGTATTGAGTGTCTTTTCACCAAATATCGATGTAATGATTATAACGTACGGTATCTTATGTGGTAAGTATGATCTTTAAGTTTTCAACATGTCAACTCAACATTAATTTTAGCGTAGCGCCAAAATATACTTATCTTGTAAAAGAGGCATTTGTTGGTTATGTGACTATATCAGAACCACCACAACAAACCTTGTCAAAAATCACCTCTACCTCCTGTAGTTTGATGGCAGTGGTTTACTTTACAGAGTAAGTCCCAGATTAGTTCCCGGTTGAGGTAAGACCTGCCATGGAACAGGTTTCTTGTCGTTCAAATGGGACAGCTACAGCTTGTTTTTGACTTCACTAATTTGAAAATATTACGTTTCCTAGATGAAAACGAGGAATACTTAATATTATCCTATTATGAAGAGTTCATTTGCTGCTACCAATATTTCGCCAAAATCTTGTTTTGGATTTCGAGTTTCGTTTTTCGGTTCGGATCGTTGGTACTTGATTTATTTATCCTTATTGTTTAGAAACCTGAACGCTCTTCAATGTTTAATAGTGCCAATGTTACCTTCTTACAATGGCCATTGTCAGTTAAAAATAATTTGATTTTGAAATTTGAAATCAAAAATGTATTTTATAGCTCTGTAATATTTAAATATTAAATATTTATAAAATGTTACCCTCAAGTGAGATATAAACCAATGTTTCGCGGTCCTATCCTAACGTGACTCAGAAGCATCGAATGAATTGTCGGTGTACGTGTCACAATGTCAAGTCATTTAGGAACTGTTAAGGATAAGCTTGTCTACTTGAGTTTCATGATAGTAAAAAATGCTAGTTATCGTGTTTAGGTGTGGTTGAAATAACAATATAATTATTTATACCTATTATTAGGTAGTGGTATATGTATGATGTATATGACAGCTATCATTGCTGTTGGATTATATTTTAATGAAAGAAGAGCAATAGCTACTGGGATATCTACAAGTGGTGCTGGTGTTGGTGTTTTTGTTTATGGATATCTGATGGACTATTTACTAGAAATTTATGATTGGAAAGGTGCTGTGCTTATCCTTGCTGGGCTTATGTTTAATTGTATTGTGTGTGGTGCTTTATTTAGACCAAGACAGCCCAGTATTCAAGACATAGAACATTTTGAGATTTCTTCTTCGTCTAGTGGTTATTGCGGATCAAATAGTCAACATGTTGACAGTGAATCTGAAGAAGAATGTGAATCAATAAAGGCAGATCAAATTGTTACAAATCATCATAAGCATAATAGTAGCATTCGATATCAAACTAAAACTCAAAGTGCCGACGAACTAAACCTACTGAGCGTAAAAGCAATTGATCCACGACTTCACGTTAGTTCCTTCGCTGTTAGTAAAATTACACTGGACTCTAAAAGTGAGAGAATAGCAATGGGTTTGTTGAATCCGATGCTCAGGAAAGACATATTTTACAGCGGGAGTGTTAGTCAACTTCCTGACTATAAACAATGTGATGGAAGTTTAAATTCATTTTTAGCACAAATGACACGCGATAAATCAATTACTAATGACATGGAATCTCACATAATAAGCACATCTCAAGTTAAATCTCTGTATGATATTACCATATTGAAAGACAATATCTTCTGGGTATTATTGTTCACGTGTACATTATGGACAGGTTAGTATTATATATATATATTACTTTCCTCTCCAATCAATTATATCTTAAAAACTAACAGCCTTGTGTTCAGTTGTTTACAAAGCAATGTAAAAACCGGACTGCATTAACATGCAACACCAGTTTAGTTAAAAAAAAATTCAAAACCGCCTAGGATGGTCTAGGATGGCTAATAACTGAACGCAGGGCTGTACGACAATTCATTAAAATTGGTTGTTCGGTTCGTTACCAGCCTTGTGTTTAGTTGTTTACTTGTACAAGGCAATGCAAAACTGATTAGCATAACCGGCTCATATGGCAACACCGGTTTAGTAACAATATCAAAACATTTCGGAGGGTCTCTAACTGAACGCATTAAAAACCAGTTGTTCTGTTGTTCTACTACTAGCCTTGTGTTTAGTTTTTAAGTAGTGTAATCATCGTTTTGCATTGCCTTGTTATATCAGCTAATATGGCAACATTAAATGAAATGATCAAATCGCTTGGGATGTTAAATGAACGGAGGGGTGGTCGAGATTTCATTGAAAATCGGTTGCGCTGTACCATTTGGAAATGCTTAGTCCTATCCGACCGCCATGAAACCTTCTGACCTGCATCACGGACGGGGTAACTCTGTTATAAATTTCTAAATGGTGATCAAGTTCTCACTTGAATATCGGTTGAAAGATCTTGTAGCTATTCCAAATTGTATTAATTTGACCCTGTACATAAATACAAAGAAAAAAGGTCGCAAAAATAAGTTTTCAGTTACTAAAACATCTATAGCATTTTCTTCTGTTTAAAACCTTAAATTTCGAATTCTCTTGATTCCAATGCCCCAATGCGAAAATCGATAGACATTTTCATTTGTTCGGCAAAATTTCGTTTGGTCATACGCTGCAAGTCGGTGAAGAATTATCTGATTATCCCAAAAAATCACCGTTCATTGGTAATTGCCGAGTCTGTGATAGACTGTAATCTGTAGATGAGTACGTGCTCGAAATGTTGAAGTATGATATTAAAATTGCCGTCGCTTATGTCCATCCGTCCAAATATTTTGTAGACACGATAGCGGCTGCTGTTTTCATCCGATGGTGAAACTTGGTATGCATGTATATACTGATGCGATCTCTATAGAAAATATCACTTTGGAATGTGGCAATTATTAAAAGAACTGTTTTTAAGATAACAAAAAACGTCTTATTTAGCTTTGTAGACACAATAATGCTATTATTTTATATATATTCATATTTTTATTTTTATTTTGATGTTGATATTTGATTGATTGAAAAGGTTGCAATTGGCAATAACTGCTGGACAAGTGTTTTTTTTAATTATTACCCTTGAATGAGCAAAAAACATGCAGAAATGCTTTCTGTGGTTCTTTAAAAAAGAGAATTGTTTTATTTATTTTAATGAAAGCACTTTTATCATTTCCGACAGCTGTTAGTGGGCGTACGTTACCCTATCTGACAAGCTATATTTTTGAAAGGAATGATTGGAAGGGGTGTACCAAGTTAAGGTTGTTGGCCTATCGGAGAGTGTTTGGACTAACACCATAAGAAAGCGGGTTACAACTCTCCAATGTGTGAATTCTGAGAGAAATAAAATTAAATGTTGTTTCGTCTGATCGGGCTTACGAAAACGATAAATTGATGAAACTGCTATATGATAATGAAATTAAATATAAGAGCAGGTTATTTGCGAAAACAGATACGTATAATATACATTATTTATATATATTAATGGAAAAATCAACGTAAAGCATCGGAAAAAAAGATCAGTCATTTAATTATGCTTTAAACTTTTGTAGGCTAATATTAACTTCGAGTTAATTAAGTTTAATAGAACTACCACAATTCTTTAACACATTTTCATTGTAACATTTAAATCTTTATAATCGCAGTTTCTATGCAGTGGCGTTTCTACGGGAAAGAGGTTGCCCGGCTTTGTCCCCACCCCCACTTCAAAATGTCTTACCATTTAACATTGGGGAAATAATGGCCTGTGCCCCGCCCCCTCCCAAACCATCCCTTGGTCCTTACACGACCCCCTAGAAACGTCACTGTTTCTATGCAACAAATACCAACCCTATTATTCTTTGAGTGACTTACAATTTACTTATAATTATCACATTCATTTATGAATTGTTGTGCTATATTCTTAATCTTTTTTATTTACACCGTGGCAAAAGACCCATGCGTGTAACATACAAATTTTCCGACTTGCAGACTGTGAGAAATGTGATTTAGGTCTTTGTAACATTTTTCAGGGCCTTATTGAAGACTTCAGAACACGTTGACTGTTTGGATATACTGTGTATGTATTGGTTAAAGGAATGAAGTACTATTTGTTATTTAATTAATGTTATCTACGTATATATGAGTAATAATGGAATTTTGTTGGTTATAAGAAACACTGATTAAATTATACTCTTTGATTGAAATTAGAAATCGACATTTACGCTTACGAACTATCCACGGCTTATCATCATATTATCATTATTATTGTTGCTAAATCTTAGTAGCATTAATCTTCTGCTAAGTGTCTCTGTAAATCAAATTTCGTGAATTTTTTGCTAAAATATATTTCTTTCGCAAGGTTTTCATGTTGTATTTGAAATACTTTTTTGTTCTAAAAATTCTAGAGTACTGTGTGATCTGTTAGTTATTCAAGTGTGTAAGTCAATATGAAGCATTACCAAACTCGGATTGAAAATTGTTCTGAACTTATTTCATGGAGGAACTCAAACTTAACGTAAATCATTTTACTTTCATAAATTCTCAGATAAAAAGTACTTTTTTAAGATCATGGACCAATATAAAGTTTTTATAAATTACAATTACCAACTTTTCCTTTTAAATGATTTTTAAGAAACACGCTTATTAGCACTCTGTGAGGCAGGATTCTTGGCGGATTAAAGTTGTTTAATATTACTTAAAAATGATCTCCATCGAACATAGAAAAATATTAAATATGAGTTATTGCCAATTTAGCTTGTATAGACGTTAGAAGGCCCAATTCATGAAGGATCTGAGATACCCGATGAAATTGTTTATTATCACCCAAGGATGATTATATATTTATAATAGAAATATTTAATATGAATTACTGCCCTTGTTCAATTTTTAGCTCGTTAAAACTCATTCAAAAAGTTCCGAATTAAATATATTTAAATGTTATTGGGTAAAATTGCTTAAAACTACATTTTACAATCACATTTTTCACGGATTTTGACAAACTTGGTGACATTGATGTCCCACGGGTTGACTCTTTCGAAAATTGAAAAAAAAAACAGATATCAATTATTCCTTTGAAAAGTGTTTAAAAAGCGTGTTAACATTCTGCAAGACAAAGATCGTGACAGACTTGGACACAACTTGGTGAAATTATAACTTAACATTTACTTCTTGAGCCAAAAAGAAGTGTATTATTAAAGGTTGACCATTTCTTGTTGTCGATCTGCCAATTGAAACTAAGCTCTCAATTTGTGTATGTTACATTGTCGGGAAAGCTATCTTTATTGTTAGTTTCAAAGAGAGATATGTAAATATGTTAATAGTAATAGAAAAACTAACCAACAAAATTTCATAAAACATCAGAATATACATGGATAACTTGAATCTTTTCAATATGTTTAAATCGATGTTTTGTGATCGAAAAATTCTCCGAAAATTTTATAAATTATTTTATTTATTACATTGATTCATTAGCTCATATGCCAGTTGCCCACAAAACGTCGATCTGTAGAATTTTTTACTTGTAACTAACTTGTAACTCACCAGTACAACATGTGTATTCTCCTATTATAAATATTGATTTTTCTTATTTACAGTTCAGTCAATTACCATAACATATGTACCTGGACTAGCAGTATCCAATGGTATAGATAGATCAAAAGCAGCATTATTGATATCTATTGTTGGAATTGCAAATACTTTTGGAAGAATTATTGCTGGTTTTGCAAATGACTTTTTCAAGATAAGAAGTAGCGTACTTTATTTCTGTGCACTGCTTGTTGGCGCAGTCGTCAATTACATTCTTCCATTTTGCGGAACATTTCCATTAATTGCAACATGTACTGCTGGATTCGGACTTTGTATGGGTAAGTAGATTGGTAACTCCCTCTCATACAAAATATGGAATATGCGCTCATAGCAGACACCTGCTACGGTAAAATAAAAACAGGAATCATTGCTTTGTTCAAACAAATTACTCAATCAGATATGAGTGAAACATTAGCAAGAATATCCCACTACTTTAATGTCATGAAATGGGGGCGTATATAGCTGTCATCCATGTCCGTCGCTCCACAATTGCTCGTAAACACTCTACAAGGCACAATTCTTGACTGATTTCGACTTGGTATGGTTGTTTGTAATCACCCAAGGATGAACCCTATCGAAAATCAGAAAAATCGAAAAATATTTAGTATGAGTTATTGCCCTTGATCTTGAAAAATCGTCCAATTTGTAGCTCTTAAAAACTCTAGAAGGCATGATTCTTACCGGATTTTGACAAAACTTGGTTTTATTATTCAATACCGCTCTGATAATTGAATATTTGTCCTCTACAGTTTTCACGAGCTAAAGATTGAACATGTTTTCAAGAACAAGGGCAATAACTCATACTAAATATTTTTCGATTTTTAATAATAATTTTTAATATATAATATTATTCAGTATCGCCCTAAAGAGTTCAAAAGAAGTGTATGACTGAAGGTTGAATATTTCATACCGGTGATTGTTACTGTACTGCTAATTATTTTTATTCAAAATCAAAGCTGTCAGTGAGCGTATATTACCTTGCCTGGCAAGCTATCTTTCCTCCAAGACAAAGGTGAAGCTTTCTTTTCAAACATTAATCCGATTTTTTTTTTTTGCATTTGATAGAATTATATGTATGTTCATTACTTACAGCTATAGCCGTTTCAATGAGAACGATTGTAATAGCTGATCTGATGAAAATAGAAAGATTAACCCAGTCTTTTGGTTTGATTTCATTTGCCCAAGGAGCAGCCTTTATTTTCAACCCGCCTATTGCTGGTAAGACATGTTTGATAAAACTTTGGATTTAGACACGATAGCAGTGCAAAAACTTTATTTTGAAATCATTCTTTAACACACAGGTAAAAAAATTCCATTTATTAAATGATATTTTGTCTGTCTTTGGTGTTAATACTTTTGGTCTTAGGCGATGCTGTTTGCATTAAGTCTTAAAAAAATTCTTACCCCTAAAAACCGTCAATTAACAACCGGAAAATTGGTGAACAGCAGGTGGGCAATGAGTTGCTGTTGGGCCCCTTGAAAATTGTGGCCCCTCCATCTAATAATACCTAGAAACGTCACTGCTCAAACCTGCTCCTCAGTCCTTTTATATTGAAACATTTCCACAAGCAAAAGACGCTACTAATAAGCGATATCGATTACGGACTTAAATGAGAATAATTGTTATTTTTATACGCCCACATGAAATGGGGGGCGTGTATTGCTGTCACCAATGTCGGTCCGTCCGTTCACAATTGCTCGTATTAGTTATTGCCCTTGTTCTTGAAAACGCGTTCAATTTTTAGTTCGTAAACACTCTAGAAGGCACATTTCTCGACGGATTTTGACCAAACTTGGCATGAGTGTTGGTTATCACCCATGGATAAACCCTATTGAAAATCAATAAAATCGAAAAGTATTTAGTTTGAGTTATTGCCCTTGTTCTTGAAAACACGTTCAATTTTTAGCTTTTAAACACTCTAGAAGGGACAATTCTTGACGGATTTGGCGAAATTTGGTGTGAGTGTTTGTAATCACCCAAGGATGAACCCTATTGAAAATCAGAAAAATCGAAAAATATTTAGTATGAGTTAATGCCCATGTTCTTGAAAACAGGTTCAATTTGTAGCTCTTAAAAATTCTAGAAGTCATGATTCTTGCCGGATTTTGACAAAACTTGGTTTTATTATTCAATACCGCGCTGAATATTGAATATTTGTCTTCTAGAGTTTTCACGAGCTAAAGATTGAACACGTTTTCAGTATCGTCCTAAAGAGTTCAAAAGATGTGTATGACTGAAGGTTGAATTTTTCATACTGGTGATTGTTACTGTACTGCTAAATATTTTTATTCAAAATCAAAGCTGCCAGTGGGAGTATATTACCTTGCCTGGAAAGCTATGTCATTGATATGATTACGATTTTGTTTTTTTCAGGAGCCTTAATGGATTTTGCAGGAACTTACATTGCTCCATTTTTCATGGCAGCGTCTCTGTATGTATTATCGGCAATTCTTAGTTTGATTTTGGTGCTAAAGAAGAGAAGTCAAGGCCGATGATTGCTGACAAACTGATGGGATTTATAACCACATTGTATGCTTTGTTTCGTAAATTCAAATGTGTAGCCATTCAAATTCATTCGAATATTGAGACACTTCACTGATATATCCATTATCATAATATTGTCATGTCATTCTCATTTATTTAATTCAGAACTATATTCATTGGTTATTGATATCTGTATATGAAACATCATATTCTGACCTGATATTATTATTTTAATTAAAGACAATTTGATTCTTATTTTTTTTTTCAATTATACAACTTTATGGGAGAACACGGTTGTCACTCAATACGTCAAAACAAAAGATTTTACTCCAAAATTAATATTCTAATTATTACTTATATTTATATCTAAACTATAGAGTTTTCACCCTATATCCTTGGGTATAATCAAGTCACTAGTTTTATAATTCTATTACAATTGCACAATAATGTCTACTAACATGCAGATTTGTAAACTGAAAGAGCTTTGGTACTATACATGATATTTACGAAAGATAAAAAATCCATTTCAGCAGAGAGGTAAAGGACTTCTTACACCCGTAACCGCCGCCGTCATTCACTGATGACCATTGGATGCCGTCGACTATACTCCGATGTGGCAGAGCAGCTTAATGTTTGAAATTTATCGATTAAT